AGATCTTCCAGGCCGCTGGGTAACGCCAACACCTCCCCGAACATGGCCGCGGTGGCGTCCCGACGGAGTTGTTGGACAGCCCCAGCACAGCCAGACGTGTATCCCCCGGGACAGGGCGAGGGCGAGAGCGCGACCACCCCCCTCCGGAATACCGCACTTGTTGAGAAACAGCTGTTTGATGAACTAACGGAAAATAACGGTTTTTTTGAGGTGGGGATTGCGGGGGGAGGGAAGGGGGGAGGGAAGGGGCGGAGGCAGCAGGGGTGGGTGGAAGGAAGTAGAGTCGGGTTTGGAATCCGAATCCAAATCCGATTTTGAAATCCGAATCCGAGGAGGCATGGAACGGTATGACCTGGAGGAAATTCCACGGAATGCCTCCACTCCCTCTTCTCGCTCGATTACCCCATACAAATCCCCGATACACACATACATACATACATACATACCCCGGCGCACACCTGGTACGGCGTGATCGTTGGATCCAATAAATCCGCCAGCGCTCGTACACCGTTGATTCCCAACGGATTATTCGACAAGTCTAGGGAGGTTATGGCGCACGTCAATCTGCCCGGCGTGACGCTCTGACCGGGCACATTGCCGCCACCAATACCCCCCATGCCACCTGCCCCCCCGGACTTGGGTTTATTTCCCCCCCGACCGCGGTTGACTCCCGGGAGGGGATGGTGGCCAAGGGCAGCCATGGTGGAGTTACTTGTACGGCGGTGGCCATCCTGACCGACGTGATCGCCGCCCTCACCGTTGCTAGCGGTTGCCCTGAGGTCATAGAATTGGGGGGGGGGGGAGGAAAAGAGGCTTCGCACGCGCGCACGCTCTCCCGAGTCAACAGGCTCCGTCACGCGAGTACTACTGCGCACTGAGCCTCTGAAACACGAAACAAGAAGGCTCCTCTCCTCAGCCCCCGCCTGAGGCCCCGGCCCTTGGGGTGAGGGCTCACTTCTAGGACAGAGGTAACCTTGGAAACCATGCACAGAGCCTACCCCTCTCTACTACGGCACGAGGCACAAACACATGTGCTTTAGGGACTGGGCTGCGAGTGGAAAGTGATCAGAATGTATGTATGTATGTATGTATGTATGTATGTATGTATGTATGTATGTATGTATGTATGTATGTATGTATGTATGTATGTATGTATGTATGTATGTATGTATGTGCACGCCCCTCGCGCCGGAAAGTGGAGTGAACTATT